TTATTCTTTAATGTAGTATTAGTTTGAAAAATGTAAATCTCATGGTTGTGGCACATGAGGTAAATACAGCATACAGATATCTCCATCACCAAATCATATCTGGAATAAGGGCCATATCAACCCAACCTCCAATTTCTGTTGGTGATTCAACCAGTTGACACATGTAAAACTAAGTGCCAAGCATTATGCTAAGTGATCAATAAATAACAAATATTATCACAGGTGTGGATAAGATCAAATATCCTCAGACTCAGGTTATGAACACAAACAGCATCAACTGAACAAAACTTTTACCATATAACTCTTTTTTTATATATATTTTTATAGTTGGTAGTATTACAGATATCTCCCATTTCCCACCCCCCTCCTTTATATCCTATAATTCTAATCAACTCTGAGCTTCAGAAGCTATAGCCAAAAAAAAAAAAAAGGAACACTGTGCTAGATGGTCTTCTTTCAATGCCTTGCATTCTTCTGTGTCCATGGAAATGATGTTGCGGCCCAGCCAGTGTGGCTCAGCAGCTGAACCAGGAGGTCACGGTTCCATTGGGTCATGCCAGGAGACAGCCAATCAATGATTCTCTCTCATCATTGATGTTTCTATCTCTCTCTCTCTCTCCCTGAAATCAATAAAAAATATATTTTTAAAAATCAACGTTGCACATATGGGTAACTCATTATCAAAAACTCTTGCAGGGTTTCTTTTCACTTTTGTAAAAAGGGCAAGCGAATTGCTAGAATCCCTTTAACTGTCACATTCACAAAATGTGTAAACGGCCGCCATCTTTTGACTATTTTGTGCAATTTCCTTTCTTGAAGGGTTTTATTTATTTATTTATTTATTTATTTATTTATTTATTTTTAGAGAGAAAACATTGACTTGTTCCTCTTTTTTAATATATATTTATTGATTTTTTACAGAGAGGAAGGGAGAGGGACAGAAAGTTAGAAACATTGATGAGAGAGAAACATCAATCAGCTGCCTCCTACACACCCCTCACCAGGAATGTGCCTGAAACCAAGGTACATTCCCTTGACCAGAATTGAATCCAGGACCCTTCAGTCCGCAGGCCGACACTCTATCCCCTGAGCCAAACCGGTTTTGGCAATTGGTTGACTCTTGTATGTGCCCTGACCAGGGATTAAACCCAAAACCTTGGCCTATCAGGACAATGCTCTAACCCACATGTGTCAAACACAAGGCCCGCGGGCCAAATCCGTCCCGCCAGGCCTTGCAATGTGGCCCGCACCGTGCTGTCATCACTGCACTCCGCTGCGTTTCCATCACAATGACAGTTTATGACTGTTCAGTAAACCATTCGGCCCGCGATTTAGGCTGGATTTTAGATTTTGGCCCCTTCTCTGATTGAGTTCGACACCCCTACTCTAACCAATTGAGCAGCCAGGCCTGAAACTAGTCACTGGAATTTAGGCAGTCATCCTCAGTTTAACCCCAAGGATAGTTCTGAGAAATGCACTTGAGACAATTTTGTCATTGTGAGAACATTAGAGAGTGTACTTAACACAAACCTAGATGGTATAACTTCCCATACATCTAGGCTATATGGTATACCACTATCATATATGTTAGTCCTCGTGTGGCACATGACTATAGCACATTCCATTTCCATGGTCCCCATTAGCATTGCCCATTGCTCAAAGTAAAAACCCTGGGTAAATCTATACCAAAATGACACAGTGAGCCACAGATTGGCCAGTGCTCAGCAAACTTATTATTCAACAGAGCCAAATATCAACAGTACAATAATTGAAATTTCTTTTGAGAGTCAAATTTTTTTAACTTAAATTTCTTCTAATGCCACTTCTTCAAAATAGACTCGCCCAGGCCATGATATTTTGTGGAAGAGCCACCCTCAAGGAGCCAAAAGCTGCATGTGGCTTGAGAGCCGCGGTTTGCCGACCACGGGACTAGGCTACGTAAAAGAGTTATGGATGCTACAGTGTATGATCCTTCCCCATGGGTACACAGTCCTATCTGCACAGAGAAAGAAAAGGACCCAGGTGCCTTGTGGCTTTAAAGCTGGAGTCTGGAGCATGCCTGGAAACACACAGCTCCCCCTCAGGTCTGTTGCCCATGAAGGACATTTTCCCAGCTGGAACATCACCTCCAAATTAATCTCCAACCAACACTGTGTAGTGAAGAGTAAGAGTCTCATCAGATTAAACAATCCATCCGGCCTTCATTTAAGGCTTGCTTTAGATTTTACATGCTGGATCCTTCCGTCTTTCTCCTACTACTGACCAGCATGACTCTTACACTTCTAGCAGGTTCTTTTCTTGTTTCTGGCATTTGCTTCTACTCTCTTTCCTTCATCTCTTAACAATCTACACATTCTTCTAATACTTAAAACTCCTCTGGCCATAGTCTTCCTCAGGAGCACTGGCCTCCACCGCCACCACCACCACATTACCTTCTGCTCTGACTCCCATACTACTCATTTCAGCACTTTGTTATATTCACTCTTCCAGGATTATAAAGTCTCTGAAGTCAGAGGCCAAGGGTTATTTTTATTTTTCTCCGAGATGTCTGCATTACTCTCTTGATTAAGATCTCTGTCCCAATGTCACCTCTTCACTGAGGGCCTCTATAGAACAATGCAATATTCCTTAACATTTATCAACATATTTATTTGATTTTTCATCTCCCCACAGACTGTAAACTCCAGATGATACTGACTTGGTTTGCTTACTACTGTATCCATGCAACTAGAAATACCTGGCATGCAATAGGCATTTGAACTGGTGAATTGGCCCTCCCAAATGTGGATGGACATCATCTGATCCTTTGGATGCCAGAAATAAACAGAAGACAGAGGAAATATAAATTAGTTCTCCCTCTGCTTGAGCGGAGACATTCATCTCCTCCTCTTCCCCTTGCACATCAGTGTTCCTGGTCCTCATGCTTTGACTCAGAGGAAGGTTTATTTATCCCAAATATGTTCGCTTTCAGCTAAGTAACTCTCAGTCTAATCCACAGAAGTTATACATATTTGTGTGTGCATATGTATTTCTACAATATATGTACACATATACTATGTATATGTTTACAAGGGCAGTGGTCAACAAACTGCGGCTCGAGAGCCACATGCGGCTCTTTGGCCCCTTGAGTGTGGCTCTTCCACAAAATACGTGTGGCTGCACATGTACAGTGCGCTGGAAACTTCGTGGCCCATGCACAGAAGTCGGTTTTGGCTCTCACAAGAAATTTCAATCGTCGTACTGTTGATATTTGGCTCTGTTGACTAATGTTTGCCAACTACTGTACTAGGGTATACATATTTGTATACAGATGTATGCTTAGCTGAGAAAAGTTCTACAAACCAACACCCCTTCCCTTGCTCTATGTGACATATTACTATTTCCTATTCTCTTTCATCCTTTCTTTTCAATGCTGGTCAAGAATGTCTAAACCCTGCAATCCATTAATGGATTCTGACTTCTTTGAAAGCCCCTACTTTAGCAGATAAGCACCTGTAACTCCAGGAATATTTAGGATTAACTATAGAAAGAATGAAGTAAAACAAAATCATAGCATTAATATTCTCCATTACATTTTGAAACCACCTATTTGATTTGGTATTTATAACATTTAAGAGAATTTAATATTATAATTTTGCAATTCTATTTTAAAATGTGAAATAACTGATTTAGACCCATGATTTTAAGTGGATATATGTAACAGAATTTAATCTTTTCAAGCAATATTAAGATTTTAATATTTACCAGCCATATAGTTTAATATACATGGCTTCCACAGTGAGCTCAGGCCCAGTGGTTGAACTTAAACCTATGAACCAGATCAGGGCTCGGTCTCCAGTAAGGGCATGCAAGAGGCAGCAGATCAGTGATTCTCATCATTAATGTTTTATATCTCTCTCCCTCTCCCTTCCTCTCTGAAATCATATGTGTATGTGTGTATGTATATATATATTTTTATTATTATTATTTTTTTTTTTTTACAGAGAGGAATAGAATTAGAAACATCAATGAAAGAGAATCATCAATCAGCTGAGCCAAACCGGTTTTTTTGGCTATATATATATTTTTTTAATGTCGTAACTGAGTGGGGGGGGGGCGCGAGGGAAGTGAACTCAGTAATTGGATTTTGTCAAGTAACTTAATTGCTTAAGAAAATAAAATATATTAACTTTATAAATGTACTTCTGTATGGAAATTAAAAAAAAAAAAAAACCTTTAGGAAAAAAAACACCTTTAGCCCTAGCTGGTTTCACCATTTATGTTTCTCTCTCCCTCTCTGAAATATATTTTTTAAGTTTAAAAACAAACAAATCTCTTTAACCCGATGGGCGTGGCTCAGTGGTTGAGCTAATGAACCAGGAAGGAGGTCCGGGTTAGATTCCTCTGTTTTGATTTTTCGGTTGGGGCTCCATGCTGGGTTTCGGGCTCTGGGGCGTGCAGGAGGCAACCGATCAGTGATTCTCTCTCATCATTGGGGTTTCTATCTCTCTCCCTCTCCCTTACACTATGAAATCAATAAAAAATAATTTGAAAAAAACTTAAGGGCCCTTCAACGGGGCAAAGCAAAACATGTTCGAGCAAAAGGAAGTGTGTTCTGCTCAAAGGGAACAAGAACCAACCTAGAAAAAGGTGGGATCGTCTTTCTTTTCTACTTCATCGCCTGCCATCCTCGTTAAAAAACAAACAAACAAACAAACAAACAAAAAACCCACACACACTCAAAATACTATTTAAAAGCATAAAACCAGCCACCAGAAGTGTCGTTTCCTTAGGGTCTGCGCCAGAATGCCCAGGCCCCGCTTCCGCTCCGGTGAAGAAAGGGAGCGCTGCCCACGGGCCTCCCAGGAGGGTCGGCCCTCAGAGGGAGGCAGGGATGAGGGGGTCCAGAGGGTGTGGGGCGCAGGGAGGTGTCTGGGGCCCGAGGCCACCTGCGCTGCGGACGGCGAGCTCGGCATCCGTTTCCTGTGCAGGGCCTCCAGGCCTGGCTTCCCCTAGCTCTGCGGCCCGCCGTTTATATGATGAGAATAGGAGGGCCTGGACTATCAGCCAGAAAAGCGTTTTCAAAACCGTTTTTACAGCCCACAAGGCTCGGACCAGGCCCATGCGGGCGGCCCGGTCCCGTGCGGGCGCTGCGGAAGAGGCCGGAAAAGCCACCCGCCGGCACTCGCGCCACCCCCGCGCCCGCCGGGAGATACCACACGGCGCACCCCTCCGGCAGCCCGGAAAGGTATCGTCCCCGGCCTCTGATTGGTCAGCGGGGGCCGGAGGCGGGGCTTCCGGAGCCTGGTTCCGCGCGCCAGAGCCCGCTCGCCGCATTGCGAGCCGGGCCAGGAGCGGGCGCCATGGTGAGGAGTGGTTGTGGTGTGCGAGCCGGGTGAACGCCGCGGTTCGGGCCTTGGTTCGGGTCTGGGTTCGGGCCCGAGCCCTGGCCGGAGCGCGGGCCTGCCGTGGGGGTGGGGCCGGGTGGACGCGAGGGCCGGATTGGCGCTGACGCCCGGCTTCCTCTCCAGGTGCTGCTGCACGTGCTGTTCGAGCACGCGGTCGGCTACACGCTGCTGGCGCTGAAGGAGGTGGAGGAGATCAGCCTGCTGCAGCCGCAGGTGGGTGCGAGCGGTGGGCTCTCGGGCCGCCACGACCCCGGCATGCACCGCGCGCTCCCACGTGGCCGACCGCGCGCCATGGGGTAGGAGCCGAGCCGGAAAGCTCCTTTGCCGAGGATCCTTATCTGCCTCCGTGATTAGAATCGCCTTAGGATCATTTAGAATTCTCCCACCCTGAGCCACGAAGAAGTAACGGGATTTAGGGTCCATGATAGGTTCGTTCCCTTAAGCGTTGAGTCGGCTCTTAGGTCTGACCAGGGCTGAGAGCCGCCGCTTTACTGCGCCCTACAGGCAGGAGGAAGGAAGGAAGACACCTACCCTTTCTCCCCTCCTTCCTTTCCCCCAGGTGGAGGAGTGCGTGCTCAATCTGGGCAAGTTCCACAACATCGTTCGTCTCGTGGCCTTTAGTCCCTTTGCCTCATCCCAGGTTGCCTTGGAAAATGTCAATGCTGTGTCTGAAGGTGAGTAAGCCACCTCCGGGGAGTTCAGGAAGATAAGCCAACATATAGGCCCCGCCATTGTCTAGTTCTTTTCCTAGGGAGCTTGTGATAGTATTTGCCTTTCCTCGGCTAAATTGTTACACATCTGATAGGTTCTGGGTAGTATTTGGTGTGTACAGGATGTAATTTAGAGTAGTCTTACTAAAAAAAATTTTACCGATTTTTACAGAGGAAGGGAGAGGGGTAGAGAGCCAGAAACATCGATCAGCCACCCCCTGCACACCCCCCACTGGGGATGTGCCAGCATCGAAGGTACATGCCCTTGACCAGAACCAAACCTGAGACTCTTCAGTCCACATGTCGACACTCCATCCACTGAGCCAAACCGGCTACGGCTAGAGTAGTAGTCTTAACAGACTGGCTCAATATCCGGTGGGGGGAGGGAGGAGTATGGTAGGCTAAATGTTATATTTAAAGCACATTGCCCGGCTTGCCATCTTAGACCTTTGGTTCCAGAAGGCAGATTGGGAACTAAATATTTTCATGGTGCTTCGGAATGTGTCTTAAGCTTTCAGTTATGCATTTCACACTTGTACCTGAGTTCTGTACCTCCCGTGGTTAATGCAGGCTTTGCAGTGATGACTTGAATCTGTCAATCCCCTGAGTGCAGTCACTGATGTCTCTATGCTTCTGAGCAAAGCCACAAGCGGGAGGGATCTAGGCAAACCATCCCAGCATGCTCTGCTGGACCAGTGGTCTGTCAAGCAACAGTTGAAGTGACAGGATCCCTTTTGTGATTTAAGCCGTCTGTTAGTGGGAGCTGTTTTTTTTGCCCTGAGGTATTGTTCATGAGGACCTCCGCCTGTTCTTGGAAACTTACCTGCCAACCAAAAAGAAGAAAGTACTCCTGGGAGTTGGGGACCCCAAGATTGGTGCTGCTATACAAGAGGAGTTAGGGTACAGCTGCCAGACTGGAGGTGTGATAGCTGAGATTCTTCGAGGTGAGACTGTCCATTAACTTTTATGCCATTCTTAATTGAGGGGAGGGTTCTGGAAACAGGGTGCCTAGGGTTGCTTCTGGGTAGCTGTCCTGCTTGGCTGTTTCCTGTGGGTGCAGGAGCTAGCTCAGCCTTCCCTTGCTCATAGTCTTGCCCTCCTCTAGGAGTTCGTCTGCACTTCCACAACCTGGTGAAGGGCCTGACTGATGTGTCTGCTTGTAAAGCCCAGCTGGGGTTGGGACACAGCTATTCTCGGGCCAAAGTTAAGTTTAATGTGAACCGGGTGGACAATATGATTATACAGTCCATTAGCCTCCTGGACCAGCTGGATAAGGACATCAATACCTTCTCCATGCGTGTCAGGTAAGGGGAGGAATGGCTTAGCTCATTTTGGATCCTGAAATGAGGACTGGCTTCTGTGGGGTGGGGCTGGGCCTCCTGGTGCTTACCACAGGCTGTGTGCTTACACTGACTGTACAGAAATAGGAGGCAGAGTAAACCTACCCCATATACACCTCAGCTCAGGCTCTTTGTCTGGTCTGAATTGTGAATGGGGAGACATTGAATCAAGGAGGTCTGGGATCTGTCTTGTTTTCACTTCTTCTGGGCAAGGAGTAGATGGTAGCTATAGGTTTATTTGATACGTGGCAGTTTGGCCAGGGAGTGATTTTTGCTCTTTGCAGGGAGTGGTATGGGTATCACTTTCCTGAGCTGGTGAAGATAATCAATGACAATGCTACATACTGTCGCGTCGCTCAGTTCATTGGGAACCGAAAGGAGCTGAATGAAGAAAAGTTGGAGGAGCTGGAGGAACTAACAATGGATGGGGCCAAGGCTAAGGCTATTCTGGATGCCTCACGGTCCTCTATGGGTCAGTACAGAACCTGGCAGCCAAAATAAGGTATGGGACTGACTATCTGGTCCTTACGTTCCTCCTTGGTGTCCTTCAGGCATGGACATATCAGCCATTGACTTGATAAACATTGAAAGCTTCTCCAGTCGTGTGGTGTCTTTGTCAGAGTACCGCCAGAGTCTGCACACCTACCTGCGATCCAAGATGAGCCAAGTGGCCCCCAGCCTGTCAGCCCTAATTGGGGAAGCAGTGAGTCATGGGGAGCAAAAATGGGAGGATAAGGAATGTTATGGTTGTATCTCCATGCTGCTCTGTTTCTTGATCCACCATGTTTTCCCCGTGACTTGATGGGCAGAGGTAAGGCGGGATTATGCAGCTGGTAGGTTGGCATATCCAGCGTCTGTGACTAATTCCTTGACTCCTCCAGGTAGGCGCACGTCTCATTGCTCATGCTGGCAGCCTCACCAACCTGGCCAAGTATCCAGCATCCACAGTGCAGATCCTTGGGGCTGAGAAGGCCCTGTTCAGGTACCAGTGAGGGCACCTGCCCGCACTCAGGTGCCACTTCTGGTGTCCACTACTTGTTTGGGGAATCACAGTGATGGCTGACCAGGGCATCCTGACCTATACAGGCCTCTGGTGTGGGGGTGATGGCCTGTCCTGGTATCTGAGTGATTCCCAGGGCCCAGCAAAGGGACCGAGTTTCCAGGTCAGCGACATTGGGTGCCTTCTGCCTTGGGAGCTATGGGTTGGCTTGAAGTGGGTTAGACCCACCCCTAGCCTAAGGCTCACTCTGGAGATGGAAAGGGGAGGGGAGGAGCTGCCTGGCTAATAGGGTTGAAATTTCCAGTTGTAAACTCTCCACTGAATGTTATTCTCCCAGAGCCCTGAAGACAAGGGGTAACACCCCAAAATATGGACTCATTTTCCACTCCACCTTCATTGGCCGAGCAGCTGCCAAGAACAAAGGCCGCATCTCCCGATACCTGGCAAACAAATGCAGTATTGCCTCGCGAATTGATTGCTTCTCTGGTATGGTTGAGGGAGTGGCATTTGTGAAGAGGGGGCTGGGAGGGTGTGGGGGAAATACCTTAGCTTCTACAATGATGGTAACATTTTTCGTCAACAGCAGTTCACCTAGTGAGTGTTGATACTTTGGGTCTGAGTGAAGCTGAGGGTAGAGGAAATGCAGAGGATGAGTAGTTGACCCTTTAGGAGCTGACAGGCTTTGTTTACCCACACACACCCACCCAGAGGTGCCCACAAATGTATTTGGGGAGAAGCTTCGAGAACAAGTGGAAGAGCGGCTATCCTTCTATGAGACTGGCGTGATTCCACGGAAGAATCTGGAGGTCATGAAGGAGGCAATGGTACAGGTCAGTTGGGGCTTTGCCAGATGGGGCTTGGCACAGCTAGCTGTTGGAGGTGATGAACCGTCTTGGCCTGACCTTGTAGAGTGGAGGCAAAAAACTGATTTAATGAGCCTGATCCAATGAAGCCAGGAGGGAACCTCTGTGTGGTCAGAGGTCTTCAGAGCCTTTCAGCACTTGCTTTGGCCAGGCAGAGGAAGCGGCTGCTGAGATTACTAGGAAGCTGGAGAAACAGGAGAAGAAACGCTTGAAGAAGGAAAAGAAACGGCTGGCTGCAATCGCCCTTGCATCTCCAGAAAACAGCAGCAGTACACAAGAGGAGTGTGAGGTCAGTAAGTAGGCAGAGCCTGAGTGAAAATCCTGGGTTGTAGGATTTTCAACTGTAGAACAAAGGATGTGACCTCAAAGTCATAGTTCAGGCCTTTGAATTGAAACAAGGACTTGAAACCTCTAAAACTGCCTCTTGATTCTATAGGAAGGAGATAGGTGCTGAGAGAACTTGAACAAGAGCCCAGAGAGCTGGTTGTAGCACACTGGTTCCCTGGGCAAGTGTGTTCTGTCCTCGGCTGCCTGCCAGGAGTCCTCAACTGGGGGTAGTGTGCATTCCTGCTGTTTGTTCTTGGTTTCGGCTGTGTGTCTTCCCTGGGATTTTCATAGCGCCCAGTTTGCCAAACAGTATTTCAGGGTCCCCTATGGAACTAGGCATGGTGGTTTCATTGTGACCAACATGGTGGGGTTTTCTCTTACGGGCTTAAATAATTCTCTCCACCTTTAAGTGGGAGTCACCTTTGGGGCGGATTTCCACCAGTTTTTCTGCCCTATTTAATTGCTGGAACTTGAATGGGGTGGGGGCTGGAAGAGTTGATACAGTGAGGGACACCATTTCATGCCCATTTCCCCCTTTAGGAACTAAATGAAAAACCTAAAAAGAAGAAAAAGCAAAAGTTCCAGGAGAATGGAACAGAAGACCCACCTGTTTCTTCACCCAAACCCAGGAAAAGGAAACCTTTGCCCACGGAGGAGTTAGTTAATAATGAACGTGAGGCAGCTACCAATGGAAATCTTCCCAAGAGGAAGAAATCTCTAACCCAACCAGAACCCGTTAGTGAACCCGAAGAGGCAGCAAACAGGAGTGTTCTCAAGAAAAAGAGGAAACTCTCTTTGAAGGAGGAGCCTCTCAGCAGTGGACCTGAAGAGGCTGTTAGCAACAAGAGCTCAAAGAAAAAGAAAAAGCTGAAGCTGGCCCAGGAGGGTTAGAACGGACAGTACCCTGGTGGGGCATAACCACAGTTCCCCACCCCCTACGTCCCAATAAAAGAAAAATCACAGAGTTCATTTGTCACGTTTTATTTGACACCTTTACTTGGGTGTGGTTGGGACAGGGCATCAATGACAGCCTCAGTGAAGTCTCGGCAGGTGGCATAGCCACCCATGTCAGGAGTTCGAACCTGTGGGGGAGAATTGTCATCACCCCTGTGACCTGGGCCCATCCCTACCCTCCCCCCATCAGTTTCCCTCAGGAAGCCAGCCCCAGGATAAAACCTAGGCTCTGCCCAGGTGATTATGGTCTAGAGGTTTAAGAGCTCTTCTCTGGTCCACTGTACTGAAGGGAGATGTAGGTAGTATGGTCCTCGTGAGGTTGAAGGGAATAAGGGGGCTCTAGCCCCCATAGGGGTGCAGGTGGCCGATGACGGACTGGATGAAGTCGGTTGTGGTGCTGTAGCCGCCCATGTCTCGTGTCCGCACCTACAGCCACCACCGGCAATAGCCGTGGGAAAGAAAAGAGAGCCCATGAAGCGGGGTAGGGCACTGTGATGGAAATGGGAATCCAAGATGGGATAACAGCCAGAAGACAATGCAGCAGATGCAAGAAAGTTGCTAGGTTTGCAAGAACATGGACTTGTCCACTCAGGTCTTCTGAGGGCCAGAGTCACTATTAAAGCGATACTGCAGCCTGGACAGAATGGATGGGAGGCTGAGCAGGAGAGAAGATAGGAAATGTAGACTGGAGACAGGATGAGATGCCCTGGAGACAAGTAGAAGGAAGAAAATGACGGATGGGCTTCCAGGGTGGAGGTGACTGACACCCGTGCCTCATCCTGCCTGCTACCTCCCTCTGCTCCATCCCCATCTGCTCCCCCTAGATAAGAGAGCTACAAATTCAGCATTAAGATGCCCAGTACACCTGGCCAGAGTGGCTCAGTTGATTGAGCACTGTCCTGTGTACCAAAAGGTTGCCAGTTTGATTCCCAATCAGGGCACATACCTGGGTTGCAGATTTGATCCCCGGCTGGGGCAAGTAAGAAGGGTAATAGATCTTTCAGCATGTCCTCGGGTGAGGATTAAAAAATAATAAAAGTTGTCCATAAAAGAGCCAATGGATGGAGCAGGAAAGGGAATAGCAGATGGGAACTGAAAGGCAAAAGAGATCTAGAGCAATGGTCGCCAACCTTTCAGATCTCATGGACCACCAGTGGTCCACAGACACCGGTTGTTGACCATTGATCTAGAGGATGAAACAGCCAAGAGAGGAGAAGTGAAGAGCAGCCCTGAGAGGGAAGGGCAAGATCAGAGAGCAGATGTTCTGGGGACCTATAGGGAAAGGAGACCCCAATTCAGGTTACCCAGAGAGTAGTTCTGAGGCCTTGAACCCCACAGCCTTTCTAAACTCACCTTGCCAACTTTGATCACCTTCTTCACTGCATCTGCAATCATGTTGGAGTGATATTCTAGACTGTCAATGTAGAGAGGAACAATTTGAGATTTCCCCCCTCATCAGGCCCCAATTTCACCACCTGTGCTCCCTCTCACCACCTGGCCGCCTCCTCCAGCCCACCACAACCTACTTGAGATGTCGCAGCATGTTGGAAGCTGACAGAAGCATGGCTGTGGGATTGGCTATATTTCTGCCCACTGCCTGGGCAAATGGATGCCGGGCACCCTGTGAAAAGAAGGGCAGGCCAGAGTCACTGGGAGCAGACATTCTGCAGAAACTAAGATCAAGGAGAAGAGGTTAGGCCAGGTACACTGAGAGGAGGCATGGGATGAAACGATCAGGAGGAACCTGAGGTCAGAGAAGGGCACACAGAACTAGAGGAGGTGACTTCACTCACCATCTCAAAGACTGCATACTCTGCACTGTAGCTCTCACCAGGTACCACACCAGCTCCCCCAACCAAACCAGCAGCCAGATTGTCAATAATGTTCCCATAGAGATTGGGCATCACCAGCACATCAAACTGGTAAGGATTCTGCACCAGCTGGAAGGGAGAAATGTGGGCATGGAGAAGAGAAGCAAATTCCATTGCCTGCCTCCCTCTGCACCGAGAGTGTGTACACACAAGGAGAGCCTTACCTGCATGCAACAGTTGTCTATGATCATTGTCTCAAACTTGATTTTGGGGTACAGTTCAGCAATTTCCTCACAGCACTGCAGAAACAACCCATCCCCAAGTTTCCTAGGGGCAAAGGGAACAGATTTAGCCAAGAGAGTGCAGGGGTCTACCTTCCCAGGAACCTACCCCACGCAAAGCCATGTCCCTCACATGATGTTCGCCTTGTGAACAGCCGTGACCTTATTCCGCCCCTTCTTAGTGGCATAGTCAAAGGCGAATTTTGCAATCCGTTGAGATTTGGTTCGAGTGATAATCTTCAAGCACTCAATCACACCCTTTGCACTCTGGGCAGGAAGAGAGAATTAGCTGAGTGATACTGGGAAGAAAGGAAGAGCTATGCCTCTCCCACCTTCACCCCTGTGCTCCCCAATTTCTAGGACCTCACCTCATGTTCCAGAGAGCTGTATTCCCCTTCTGTCTGCTCTCGAATGATCACCAGGTCTAGATTGTTGTGTCGAGTCTTGTACCCAGAAAGTGACTTCACATGGACTACATTGGCAAACAAGTCCAACTTACGCCTGGGGGTGGGTCAGAGCCATCAACATTGTGCCTAGAGCCCTAGAATCCCTCTGACCCATTGGCCCACCACACTTACCTCAGTCGCATATCATAGGAGGTTAGATCCCCCTTGTACTCCATCGGGGTGTGGATCTTTCCTGCACAAACAAAGGTGCAGGAGTGGGGAAATGTCAGGCACAAGCCACACCCAAGGAAACTCAGATCACTGTCCAGTCCCCTCAGTGACAGAATGCAACTCAGACTCCCATCTCCCGCTCCCGATAATGACCTTTAAACTCTGGAGGGATGGGGCAAAGGAGAATAATGCAGAAACATTTTGTCTAACATTTTTATTTTTAGTCACATGTATGTTGAAACCTCAAAGTGACGTAAGAGGAAGACAGAATATTTTTTCATGTTATCAAAGAACCTGGGCTTAATATGTTGAGAAACAATGCTAAGGGATCTGTGACCTTTCTTGATGTTTGTGTCTACCTATTTGACATTTTCTCAACCAACAATTATTGAGCATGAACTATGTGTAAGGAAGGTGCCAGGTATATCAACCAAAAGCACAACACATACCTCACAATAGTGAGGAAAATAGATAATATAAAGGATATGGTTTTTAAAAACCATGGAGAAGCCCTAGACAGTTTGGTTCAGTGGAGAGAGTGCCGGCCTTCGGACTGAAGGGTTCCAGGTTTGATTCCAGTCAAGGGCACATGCTTGGGTTGCAGGCTCAATCCCCAGTAGGGAGCATGTAGGAAGCAGCAGAACAATGACTCTCATCATTGATGTTTCTATCTCTCTCTTTCTCTCCCTCTCCCTTCCTTTCTTAAATCAATTTTTTTAAGTATATTTTAAAGTAAATAAATAAACAACATGGGAAAGGACCTTAATGACATACATAGAAACACAGAAGTTCACTGCGGTAATATCAGAAAATATCACGGAATGACTGGCACTTCAGCCAGACCTTAGGTAAAGTGAGTGTAGTAAATTGAACTGTAACCCCCAAAATGATATGTCTATACCTCAACCTATAAATGTGACTTTATTTAAGAAAGTGTTAGGAAAAAAAAGAAAAAGAAAAGAAATAGTGTTTGCAGATATAATTAAGAATCTTGAGATGAAATCAACCTGGATTAGGGTGGGCCCAAAATCCAATGACAAACCCTTAAACAAAAAGAAAAAAAAAAGAGTAGAAATAGATACACAGACACAGAGAGGAAAAAGCCAGATGAAGACAGAACCAGAGACTGGAGTGATGCATCCACAAGCCAAGGAACACCAAGAGCTGGAAGAGCCAAGGACGATTTCTCCCTTAAGCTTTCAGAGAGCCCTGCCAAGACTTTAACTTTGGAATTCTGACCGCCAGAACTGTGGAAGAATAAAATTTGTTATTTTAAGCCACCAGTTGTGCAACAATTGGTTATGACAGTCCTGGGAGTGAGGAGGACTCTGGCATGTAGCAGCAGAATATTCTGGGCAGAAGGAACAGCATAAATCAAGGTAGTATCAATACATATATTTGGACACTAACACAGCCTAGTCCATAGCACAGAATAATTGCTGTGGAAATGAAGGCAGAAAAGCTGAGAGTCACTGTATAAAGAACTCACTGTCCTATGCTAAGGCTGGGCCTGGCAAAGTCATGCTGCTCTTCCCAAGAGAAGAGATGCAGAAAATAGACTGCAAGGGCAGAACTGAAAACCAAAAAATCAAATGAGGAGATCCAAGGAGGGAAGCGGAGAGAAGACAGAAAAGAGGTGGCCAGAGTAGCATTCTAAAAACACAATTAACAAGACAACAATTCACGGTGTAGCCCCATGACAGACGCCGAATTCCTGTGGGAAGAGCTCACATGATCTCTCAACTCCTGTGTTCCAGCTGGAAGGAACCAACAATGGTCAAGAACCGATGGGAGCTCAGGGAGAGTTCATGTAGTCATATGTGTCGAGGGAAGCTGAATGAATTTTTTTCCCCCATTTGATTTTAAATGACACGTAGAAGAGGGCACACATACCAATGAGGGCCACCTTGTTCTCCTTCATGGAAGTCAGAACTTGCTCCAGCTTCTCCTCAGAAGCCATGTTCTGCACCTCGCTCAGATAATGCTCCTCAAACTCCACTGGGACACTGGCAGCCTTCGGAGGCAGGTCCCAAAAATGACAGGGTCAGGATCAAATACGTTCTTTCCAAACCGCCTCCCACCCCCACCCCACCCCACCTCCCGTCCCTGCCGCTGATTCCCCCGGGCAACTCGCCTTGAACACCTCCTTGACCGCATGCATCAGTTCGGGCCCCACGCCGTCTCCCGGCACCATGGTCACAGGAAAGGCGCCCTCCACCTTCACGTCCTCGGCCTGCGAGCGGGGCCATCAGAGATGGTGGGAGAGTAGGAGCAGGAGCCCGGGAGAGGGGAGGAGGGCTGGGAGCCGGGGAGGGGACGGAAGGGGGCCTTGCGCTTACCTGGCCCCGCGAGGCGGAGCGCGAAACGGCCGAAGTAGCCAGGCCCCTCCATGCCCCCGGGCTCGGGGCGGCGACCAGCGCCTGCGGAGGGACACGGCCTGTGAGTGATGTCGGCCCAGGCCCTCGCCCGGAACGCTACCTGTGATCCGGTAAAACCGCTCCGACCCCCGCCCGGCCGCCCGCCCGGCCTGGCCCGCTCCCCGCCTCACTCGGGTCAGCCAGCGGACACTGCTGAGAGCCGCCATGTTCTTCGCAGGAAGTCGCGAGGGAAGTGACGCGACAGCCTGAGCGGCTCGGCACCCTGACTTCCGGTCAGTCCCGGGGCCCTGGAGGGCGCGCTGTTCCTCCCGCCGGCTCCCCGCACCTGCTCGCCTTTCCTTTCCGTCCTCTTCTGCTTACCCCCTCCCAGGAGACGGGCGGAACACACAGCTGCTTTCTTTATTGCCTTTTTTTTCCAGCCGCTGTATTTAATTTATATTGAAACGTCAGCATAACGTGAATGGATATGCTGATAATGTCAGATTTGATGTTTAACGGGGACCTGAATGGGATGCCGCGGGGAAACAGGCGGCTGTGGGCAGGGGAAAGGGCCTGATGAAGGGCGCTGATTGACTCCAGCGGAGGAGATGACTGTTCGGTAGGAAGTCGGACCTGAGCGGCGGCGGGGAGGCCTGCCCCGGGGTCCACGAAGGAAAACCAGGGGGCCCTCCTTGGTCTGTGTGCCCCCGGAGCAGGGCTCGGACCAGTATTGCCTTCGGATCCCTCTCCCTACGGGCGGCCCAGCAGACCGCCAGTAGGCAGGTTCGGAGCCAGCGGTTTTTGGCGCGAGCCCAGAAGAAAACGACATGACCTCAAAGCCAATGTGACCTTTCTAAGGCCCCGGGCTAATTACAATGAAATTTGCATTTGGTTTTGACCCCGCCCTCTGGGTTGTAGATATTCTAGATAAGGGCAGGCCCAGAAGAAAGATAGTTTCTGTTAATCTCCCCTGAATGCTTGTGAAAGGCCCCACCCAGAAAACCCCCCTACCAAGCCCAGAAATTCGGAGCTTCTCTTGCATTCTCTCACTCTGTCCCTAAGGAGCAGGCACCTGCCATTCCTTTTCCCCTTTCCTTCCTCCACAGGCAGTACCCCCCAATCTCTGAGGGGCCCCATGAGACTTGCAAGCAGGGGAGAAACCGATAGCTACAGCTCCTCCCAGACTAACCCCCTGGACCTGTCTCCAAGGCCCCTTTTCTCTGACTTCCCAGTGAGCTAAAGCAGCCTAGCCATTGCTGGCTCCCATGCCCTCTCGACTGGCCTGCTTCTCCTTTGGAATGTATCTTCCATAAACCCCATTTTGCTTTGCTTTTATTTTTGTTGACCTTAAAATCTTTTCTTGCCTCGATGAAAAGAACCAAGGTCCCAGCCAATAACCCCAATCGGTAACAAGACCGTCACTGAAGGACATTGTGTCCTCCCATGAGCTTGGTGAGTTCACTGATGAATTCACTGATACTGCCTGAGAATGGGGAAAGTTAGTCAGAACCCTTGAAAAGTTCCTTAACCAATCTTTTGGGTTGGGGAGGAAGTTTAAACCATCTTGATTGTTCCTTCTAGCTCTTATAGAGCATATGTGAGTGTTCAGTGTGAGGATGGGTGAATTGAATGTCAGTTTCCTAGGCTTACACAACTGAAGTATGTGCCCTTATCCGAAATCATCCCCAAAACCCTTTGGTCCACAGGCTGATGCTCTGACTACTGGCCCAAACCAGCCAGGACAGTATACTACTCTTTTTGATCAGCTTACACATCTATTTAAGTCATTTGCATCTGTCATCTTTTTTAAAAAATATATTTTTATTGATTTTTTTACAGAGAGGAAGGGAGAGGGATAGAGAGTTAGAAACATCCATCAGCGGCCTCCTGCACGCCCCCTACTGGAGATGTGTCCACAACCGAGGTACATGCCCTCGACCGGAATCAAACCTGGGACCCTTCAGTCTGCAGGCCAACGCTCTATCCACTGAGCCAAACCGGTTAGGGCTGCACCTGTGATCTTAAAAGAGTTTTCAGTTCTCTCTGTTTCTTCTGCTATCGCCCAGTTTGGGCATGAGGACTGAGACACAAGGCTTTTTAAAAAGAGACAGGTGTAACCTGGAAGTGGACATGTGGTAGGAACTATTGGGAGAGGCAGTTGGCCGTGGTCCCTGAGTGTCCCTGTGTATCCTTGCTGGCTATGCCAAGAATGCAAGGTCCTAACTACTCTTTGCCCACACTATTTCTCAGACTTGTATTTGCATTGAGCAACCTAGGGGGATGAGGTA